TAAACTAAGTATATGTAATTTTGACGTTATATTAATTACAACATTCCTATTTTAATGTAAACCAAATTAAACGAGATTATGATTGAAAAATACGTAAATGTTTATAAAAATTATTTAATTGTGATGGTTATGAAGAAAATTTATCAAAACACGAGAAAAACTTGATTTAAAACAATTAAATTTAACTAACAATTTATTACATGGTTTTGCTCCAAATAATGCATTAAGAACAAAAGAGGCGTTGCGATTGTGATATTGATTTGTGATACACGCTGTGCGACTGGACGTGGCGTGCGCTTGACGTAGCTGTGCTCCCCCTACCAAACGTGACAAGGTGTCGGGTAGCATCGTGTAGCGTCATATGGGGTACGTGTGTTCCCCGCTTAAATTTCAAACAACCCTGTTACTAAACGTTTTTACTAGATATATATTAATACCAGATAATTTATAATAATTCATTTCATAATTAGTTTAATTTGGCAATCGTATTAAAAAGATAATTTATAAACAACGCAGTACAGGATGGAAGTTGCACGAGGGTGGCCTACTTTTCTATTAGTGTAATGCGCCCGCCCCCAGCTCCCCCAGTGTTTTTATTTACGGAAGAAAGACATTTCTTTTTAAATTTCTCTTGCCTTTTCTAATCCATTTCTCATGTATACATTAAACAGAACGTTACGTCCGACGATTTTTCTTAGTTTGCCAGCTAATGAAACCTTTAAAGTAGATACTTTGTCATCGAGCCAATCAATCATATCTCATCTTTTTTCCTCGTGGGGGAGGGGACCTAATGTTGAAAATTCGGCAATCCTATGGGCAAACTCATTCATTGGAAGACTGATGGTTTGGAAATGTATCGCTCTGTCTGAATTGCCTAGATAGGTCTATAACAACAATCGAAAAACAAATTGAGAAATGGTGAATGAAAAAATAGAGAAGATGTGCAGTAAAATTAAAATAAAACAAATATACTATATTATTCATATTAACAAACATTTGTAGAATTTCTTCCTTTTAGGATCATTTATTCTTATGAGGGGGAGGCTGAGGTCGTGGGAGCACCGTTGTACTAATCAGTGGAAAATTCGCTACACTATTTAAAGAGCAATAGTGGAGCAATGATGCTCACAACCGGGACTTCAATCAAACCCATCGAAAATTACATTAACTGCATTCACCAAGAATAGCAACTGAAATATAATATATTCTATAATGAAATGTGGCAGTTAAAAAATCGAGGTAAAGTACCTATATATTATCTAATCTTTGATAAGACCCTTCCCTCACCTGCAGCACATCATAACAAAAAGTAAAATGAGTACATTAATCACTAATGACCACAAGAAGAACTCTAGGCGAATCATGGGGTTTAAAACCGTTAATGGCCAATATGATACAAAGTAACCTATTGATCACTAATCTGGTGAACCAAAGCTCAATAAAAACAAGCTACAAAGCCTATCAATCCTATTTCTCCCAGCGGCAAGAAACCCTCTCAATTGCACTAGAAACTCTGCTAAACTTACCTCCAGTGGAAATAATTGCACAAGTTGAAGAAAGAAAAAGCTTATTTAGGCTCCAGAAACAATCAAACTGGATGGGATCAAACTTCAAGTACCCAACAAACCTCTGTCTTTTAAGCTCAAATAGATACCATAAATGCATGTGCCTTAAAAAATCATAAAAGAAGTTACATTGACAAAACAATTAAATCAGACATCGTGGGGCTCAAGTAAGGTTTCCAATTCTAATCAATTAATTCGAAAATTCTCCGTCAAATTATAAATGCTGCAATTTTTGATTCAAAACATACTATTTATAACGACTTACACATCTCATTAAACACATGACATCATCTAGACCGTTTGTAAAAATTCAATTCAAAACTATCATTCAAAATCATTGTGCATCCACAATAATGTACTAGTACGGTCGTTATCACTTCCACACTACCAGAATATCCTCCAAAATGATTGAAGCGAAAGCGAACCCGAGACCTTATCGGGTTGTGACGATCGTGTGACGATTGACGAGTTTCAGTGTTAAGGAGTGTTGCCACTAGGCGGCAGCTCCTCCTCCAAGTTTCTCTTTTTTTATTTAATGGGGGGGGGGAGTAAGAGTTAATTCGGTGGGTTAGATAGAAGATCACGAGTTTTAAACGGCGTGGAGGATTGTAAGGGTGAGATGTTGAGGAAAGAGTTAGGGCTAGTGAGTTAGGATGGAGGGAGAGTTTAGAGTGAAAAGTGAAGAAGCGTGTATGGATAAGATCTTTCACGAAAGGGATTTTAAGATCTTTATGGATCGTTTGATTTGTGACGTAGAAGGGAGCATTGAGGATACGGCGGAGAACTTTAGATTGAAAAGACTGAATTCGTTGGATATTGGATG